TCATACACCAGTATGTCCACCTTGACCTCTGCCTTGAACAAATCCCTATCTAGGGTAATAGTGTCAACATCGTCATTATCCTCCTCATCACCAATGTTTTAAAACCCGGACCGGACCGGCCGGTTCGACCATGAACCGGCCTAAGAAACGGTCCGGGTGATACCCTAAAACCAGAAATTGAATTGGACCGGTCAAACCCGGTTCGGATCCCGTGCGCCCCTTCGCTTTGCCCAGCTCCAACGGCTCACTTCAATTCAAATTTTTTGAATTTTTTTTTTCATTTTTCACCTCCCGCCCACCTCGCCTCTTTCTCTCTCTCTCTCACCTCTAGCCCACCTCTCTCTTCGTGTTGTCCCCCCCATTTTTTGTTTAATTTTTTTTTTTCATTTAACTCCCCCCTCCACCTCGCCTCCCTCTCCCTCCCCCCCCCCCCTCTCTCTCTCTTATAATTTTCAAACCCACCCCTTCCCCCACCCCGCTAGTTCAATTCAAAATTTTCCCAACCCCCCCTCTCATCTCCAATTGCTAAAAAAATTTTAGAAAAAATATTTTTATTAAAATTTTTCAATATAAATTATTTAATTTAAATATTAAAAAAATAAATTTAAAAGAATATAAAATAATAAAAATTAGATTCTTAAAAAGATTATTTCTTGAAATTTTTAATTAAAATTATATATATGTATATATATACTTTAAAATTTTGAAATGAATATATAATAATATAAAATATATTAACATTGTCATACTAACTATAATCTTGAATATTGTACAAAATTTAAATAAAAACATACAAATAGGTTATACTAAATTTATTAAAATTTTAATTTATTATTTAAATATTTTTTATTATAAACGGTTCAACCAGCAGTTAAACCGGTTGAACCGTGACCCGGTGACTTTACCGGTTTGATCACCGGTCCGGTTTTTAAAACATTGCTCATCACTGTCATATTCAGTAATGTTCGGTCGAATTAATGCATGGGTTTCTCTCTTTTGTTGAGGTTGGAGTTGAGGTAGCTACATTTTGCCCAAGCCTAGGAGGCATGCTGGACTTACTACGAATCCATGTAAGTATTGTAGCCAGGTTCGATCACAACTGTGCAACCCACTTTTCTAGACTAAGGTTTGACAGTGTTGCAACCTCGCTATTGTTGCTGGTCATTCTAGATATATCAAACAAGACACATGGCATGTGCTATTTTTTTAACTATATTTTTTAATTTTAGACACACATGTCCTAGTGCTAAGACAGGCAATTGTTATAAATCTATAAAAACTTTTGGTCATGTTGACTGACTTTTAAGCATGAACAAATTGCTTTGATTATTGGGTATTTATGCCTTTTTTGATCATTTTATGAATGTTCTAGTTTTAAATATAATTAATACAAATATTAAAAAATTGATATCTTTTAACAATGTCCTCACAATATTTGTGTCCTTATTCTAGTTCTTTTAGAGTTTTCATGACGATGTATTTGCATCCTTGTCATGTCAAACAACATGTTCATGTGCATGCTTCTTATAGCCATACACATTAGTCCTACAAATCTTGTCATAGATGTCGTAAGTATGACCTTTACTTTGATGCCACAACTACTTTTAATTTACTCAACCTGGAGGCGTGATGGTATATACATTAGATGAGTAACTGTGACATTCTGTCCCACATCAGTTTCTGCGAGAAATTTGATATGGTATATAAGAAATTAGAGACTACTATTAAACAACTTGGGCTTAAACATTTTGGGCCAGTTGTTCAGGCTCAACAAATGGCTAGGGCCAGTACCTTTTGGCTCGTTACAGTAACTCTTAAGTCTTAATCCATATCCTTATTAAATTTCCATCAAATAACCCAATAGAGGACATGAGCTTTTCAACAGTGTCCTTGACATAATCCACATTGTGTGCAGGGAACAACACATCCATGCTAAATAGAAAAGGTGTTACCAGACCAGGAGGCTTCTGCTTTGTGAAAGTAGAATAAGGGTCATCAATGTATACATAAAAAGGGTGTTACCAGACCATGAGGTCCCTGCTTTGTGAGAGTAGGATAAGTATCATCTACGTAAAAAATTTTACCTCTACTTTTCCAAGAAGCCATTTCTATGACCCAAACTCCTAAGCATTCAGTTATAAAGGAGCAACCTCATATGAAATAGGCCAATTAATTTTAACACATTGATGTGGTAGAAAGATTTGATAACTAAGGGGAATTTTATCCATGCCCATTTGCTACATCTTCATCTTTAAGCAAAAAGGTTAGCTCTTAATATCTTACTTGGAGTAAATTGTGATGGCATAGCAGCTGTAACTGTTTGCTATTCCCATTGGCCATTGATATCTTTTATACTATAATAATATGTGAATTTTTGAAGTTTAATGAAGCCTCAAAATGAAGTCCTATTAAATTTCTACTTGTCCAAAAGACCCCATAACTTAATTACATCTAAATACCAACCAATCCTTCAAAAAAGGGTTAAACGTGTGACTTTATCGTATGTAACTGCATCCCATGCACTAATCCATTAACCACTTTCCAAGAACCACTTATTTACTAACCTAGTAACCCACAAGTACTAAAAGTAACATTGCAAACACAAAATCACTACATTAGTAATAGAAAAAAACCAAGAATTCTTCAAAATCAATATGTAATTTAAAACATAAAAGCGGCAACTCAGAAGTAAGATTAGCATAAAGAGCTGAAAATTCCAGTCAATTCCTCCAAAAATATTAAAAAAGCTCGAAAGCAACCAGCATTTCAAATGGTATAGCAGATTCCAGTTTAAACAATCCAAAAAGAATATAATTCGTATCATATACCTTCCTTGAATCATTCGTAACGGAGCCAGGTTCTGATTTTGACGATGCTTCGGATTGATCATCCAAACAAGACATAATCGGTACCCGAAACACATGCTTCGGTGTTGTACCTATCTTCTGAAAAAATCTCAATCTGCCTCAGGGACAGCAGGAGTGTTACGAGTGCATAGTTTAGTCATCATCATAAAAGATTCGGTAGATGAGAAATTCAAGCAAAGGAAAAGGAAACGCGAAGAACAGACTGCAACGAGAGATTACCTGGAGGATTTGAAGGGAGAGTGGGAAATAATAACGTTGGGACGAGAGAAGTTGGGGCTGAAAAAGGAAGGAATGTGTCCACGAGCCCTAACTGGAGCGGCGCCGGTTGAGGTGGAGATATAAGAAACGGCGGGAAAGGCGCTGGTTGCTGTTACAGCCATTTGGCAAGGGAAGAGTTCGGCTACGAAAACTTTGGAGCACAATCGCACCGGAGAGGAATGCGACAGTCCCGTTTGTATATAAATCCGGCAAACTGATTTCAGTTTTTCTCCCTTCAAACTAGAAAATTTATTTTATTCCTTTGAAGTTTAAAATATTACGTTTTGTACCTGTAACTTTTAAAAAGTATTTCTATGGTCCTTAAACTAAAACTACAGTGATTAATTAAGAAATGCATAATGACTTATTTACCCTTTTTATTAGCAATTTTTGCCTCTCCACACCTGCTTCCAGCCATCCCTTACTCTCACTTCTAGAAGAATATTAAAAAATAATATATAATTCGTAAGTAATTTTGACACAATAACATCTAAAATTGAAATAAAAATAAGAGTTTCATGAATATTTTTTATGTTTACGGGGGTTTATCATCACTTACATGGCTTATGCTTGTTTTTCATTCATTTAATATCATACATCAAATTTTAGGATTAGTTAATTTTTTTTGGGTAATTAAAAGGATAACTCTATCATTTTAAAGTTAAAGAACATAAAATGATAAAGAGTGATAATTTAGGAGGTCAACTGTAATTTATCCTCGAGAAATAAGGAGAATTGCTTTCTTACCCCTTAAATTCATGCGCCATTTGAAATTCTCAATCTTAATTTTACAATTTAAAACCTTTGATTGTATATTATTTAAGAAGTCTCAAGGCTCCCAACAGTTCCATAATGATTTGTCTTGCACTGCTTCCTATAAGCCATGTGTTGTTCAACTTGATTTTCTTTCTTTGGTACATTAGACGCTTAAGCCTAGAGAGGGAGAGAGGATCAAGAGTAAAACCCTTCACTTTTATACGAAACCTCACATTTACTGTTCCTCTTCTTGGGCTAAGCCTTGAGTACTTTTTCAAGTTGATTTTACCTACAACGGGTAAACTCCATTTGGGAAGAGATGGCTAAAGTTAAAAGCTATGGAAAGTTCGTTTACCGATACCTCAAGCATTTGACAGAATGACATTTTTAACGATATTTTTGGTTATCTTCCAATCCACCAAGCATTTGAGTTTAACCAAATAGAAAAACAAGGATATGTAATGATTTTAATGAACAGATGAACCGGGAAAACACAATTTTCTCGGAAACTCTTAGCTTCAGTGTTGAAATAGTAAACGGATGGGTCAGTGAAATTCCCATCATTGTCAAAAAGGGTGCTTTTGGATTGTTAACGTTGTAGCATATGAATGCCCTTGATACTATTGGATGTAATGTTCTTCCAAGGAGATTAATTCTGTTTGCCACTACTAGGAATAAGATTAGTAACAGTTTTTATTTCTGAATTTTGAATAATAATATATTTTCTGATATGGGACCCTCTGCACAGCACCATCCTCATAGATGGATATATCAATATCGATCCTGTATTCTGCTTTTGATGAGGATAACTCAACACACAACACTCCAGCCACCAAGGTTCCTTTGACCTTTCATACAAAGTGTTGAAATGGAAGCAATCATTCATGCAATGGGAGGCGTTAACAAGATATTAACGCAAGAGACCATTAATTACATTGAAAGTAAAAAACTTGTATACAATTATGAATTATTTTTTGCGAATCTGATCCTAACAAGGATAGGCAAGTTGGCATCCTGTTCTGTCCAACTTGTACAAGGAAAATGAGGTCTGTTTTTGTACTACAGGGTCGAAGATCATGTAATGTGCCAATGGGGCATGCAACTGTTGCCAATGGGGCATCAGTCTTCCTCATCCACCTCATGAAATGGAATCGGAACCGTTTTGACAGCTCTGAACTTCCCAGCATTATTTAGATGCTCATTTTCCAATCTAGAAGAAAGAAGTAGTTGATGGTTAAATTCACTTGTGAAGGAGATATGAGTTGGATACCGACAAAGTAACAGAAGTTATAAATATCACTAACAATTGAGGTGGTGGGCAAATAAATACCTGTAAAAATTCCAGAGTCCTCTTCTAATAACTTCAAGGGCTGCCAAAATAGCCCGGTCACTCTGTAGTCAACCCTACTGAAACTGTAATGTAGAACTGTTTGTAACCAGGCAAGCCTGAGAACAAGGTTCAACACCTGCAAGGCATACCAAAGTGTCATTCAGAACCTCCTTAATATAAAACGGAAATTAAATAGCACGAATTAGAATCCTGAGAAAACATTAGGATTTTCTTAGGAAGTCTCCAGGACTTTGCATAAAATGTGATTTGGAAGTTTTGTAGCTTTCCAATTAGCAAAACAAAATTAATGGCACGCAACTTCACGTCATTTGCGTTTGAAAAGCAAAATTTAATGTAAATTTTTGAATAGACCTGCTTGGCTTTCTGGCTTATGATTTTGCTTTTAAGCACATAAAACCCAGAAAACAAGATATTGTAACTTCTAAGCCTCTAGGTTAGAATGTCATAAGCTGGGAAGCTGCAGGATGTCCTGACTTCTGGGCCCTGTGGGCATCAAAGTTGAACATATAAGCCCAACTGAAGTTAGGTGACTAAGTGAAATTAGGATTACTGGGCGAGATTAGTAGAACAGGTGCTTGTTGGAAGGGATCTTCTGTGAAAAATTGAGAAGCCATCTAAAGCAAACAAAAAGGAAAAGAAACAGAAACACTTTTACAAGGATTTCTGGGTGGGATTGAGAGAGTCGAGAGTGTCAGATATGAAGGATCAACAATTATATACCATGGAGAAGTAGTAAATGAACTTTCTTCTAAGCATAAGTTCATTCCTTAACCAAGGGTTCTTGGAATGAACTTGGAGCAAACCCCAATCCTTTACAAAGTCCCAATACAATTGATAAACCGTGGCTGCACTTGACATGGCCACAAGCAAACACAGCCATCCCACTGTCCTTTCCCTCTCATAGGCTACTTTTGCTCCAGCAGCTAACATTGCAGATACGTATTTCCCCAGATTCACAAGGTGGCTCGTTTGACCTTCGTCAAACCACCGCCTGGCGCACTGTAAACCAAAGCAAGCGCAATTTTCATTAGAATTAGTAACTCATTGAATACAAGCATTAGGAAATAAGAACATTATCAACCTGCATAGCCCTCCAGTAGTAGGGTAGGAAGGAAACAGCATAAGCAAGATCTCCGTAATATTTGGGTCTCATGCAATACCCGTAGTCTTGAGTTTTGTAGCTCCCAGTTATGTAGTAACAAGCTATGTTTTCCAGGTTTCTGAGCATCGGCACCTATTAAAACAATAATGAAACAAATCAGTTTGGCTCAAAAAGTTTTTTTTTTTCCTTTGTTAATTATCAAAAACAAAGTCCATGTTGATGGCTTTCAGGATACCTGACTACAAAGTTGATCAGCCATGAAGAAGTCCAGCATGACAACCTGCAGGAATGCTGACTTTCAGATAAAGGGCTTAACTTATTTTGTTCACTAATTCTATCGCTAATATCCAACAAATACAATCAAAATCGTGGTCTGGAAATTAGATTTTATGCCTGCTTCAACTAGGATGATTTACTGGTTGCAGAAAGTAGAAAAATGGTGGTACCTTGTACAGAGGTGATAGAATGATGTTTCTGATCACACAGAGGAACCTGTAGCGGCTAGACTTGTAGAAGATATTGAAAGGACACACAAGGAACAGCAAGAAGACCTGTGCACATGAAAAGACAAATATTTCATGACAAATTCAACAGAAAACTTGAAATATTATAATTGAAATTTCATAAATGTAATGCTGTAGATCAGAAAATTACCAGTAACAGAAAGCCGGAATCGCCTGAACTTGGGCATAGGAATACCCTTTAGTTACAAGTGACAGATGAACAAATAACACCCCCATCACAGCAGTCATGGATGTGGTACAGATCAAAAACACATCCCTGTACTTAAGCTCTTTTGTCGGGGCCAGCTCAAAGATGAAGCTATAGTTTATGCGAGTCTTCCTCCACATGAATATATTACAGCCATATAGAAATAAATGCAGAAATAATAGGCTGAACATGCTGCAAACAGAGGACCCTATTGTGTTAAATGCAGATTATCAAACTCAAAAATTTGAATAATTCAAATCTTAGCGTACTACTTAGTAAGAGAATGAATTAACGGATACTTGCCTTAGCACTGGGTAAACAGTTTCCATGTATACTGTATCAGGTTTGGACCTATACATCCCACCAATATGAGCCATGATGATGTATCCAGAAAAAAGTGCCAAAAAGCATCCAGTAAATAGGCCTGATTAGGTAAAGAAAAAAAGAAATCGGTGAGCAACTCTCAACTGAACGTATTAACAGTAATTTACAGCAACAAAAGTTAAACCTTGATCTTTTTTTTATCTCATGATTTTCGCACTGCTCTCTTAATTTGCAGTTTGGACCAGCTTTCATTAGGATGAAATATGAAAAATTTCTTCATTTGATGAAATTAATAACGTAAACTTTTAGAAATGACTGAATTTAAATGGGTAAATGCCGAAGAAAAATAAGCTTAGATAGTTTGCACATCTAATACGATAAAGTAAGAGAAAAGTGAACACTATTCAAGTTGGAGACAATGAATTGGATTAAGTTAGGGGAAAGGACAGTTTCATTATATTTTAACTGAAAGTACACCCTAAAAAGTAGAATGGAGATAACAAATTCATATAAGTTGATCTCACATAGTTAGATAAAGGTGTTCATTTGAGTTAAATTGAGTTGATTTGGAACTATAGTTATGTACTTCCCATGGATATAACATTCTAGTTTACCGCATGCAAGGGGTTACATGAGAATAGTTCAATATTCGTGTTTGATAGAAACCCGACAAGGGTACAAATTCTCTCATTTAGAAATATCCATGCAACATGTCGAGGTGCACAAAGGGAAACATGTAATGCTATCTTAATGTCCAATCCATGTAGGATCAGGGGTGTAAACTAAAGTTATGGTCTAGGAGAGTTCTAGCCTCTGTCAAGCACCAAAAAGTGGCCTTTGGCAGGGCCCTCAGGTCCATGGCTAGTGCCTGTGTTTTCTTTCCACTTTCTATTCATCTTTTATGTGCTTACATGGTCAGAAAAGTGGCCAAAATAACTCAGAAATCTCCACTTCAAGAAAATGTTAAAAAGGATCCTATTAAATAAGTTATCTTGGAGCCCTAGTGTTTATTTATTTATTTTCTTTTTAAATTTGCACTAAATTTGACACTTCATGGAAGACACATACACAAGCTCACCTATGAAGAAAGTCACTCCATGAGACTCTTTCCTCTGAGTAGGTTTAAGGTATTTCATGGCCTTCCTTTTGTTATCCTCAGCAAAATGCTTCACAAATATCTCCTCAACCTCGTCTGCCAGCTTGATACCCTGTTTTGTTTCATAAAAACACTTCATTGTGAGATTTTAACTGGATTACAAGGTTGTACCCCATTGTAGTGTCAGACATCCGTATCTTGGCTCAATTCATGCATATCTTAGGCCTGCCCTGGTGTGGAAAAGCACTCAAGGGCTGATACCCACTTAAACTTGTCTAAAATAATCTGATGACGGGATAGCTGTCACCCCACATCCAATCATCTTCCAATGATGGTTTTATGCCTTTTCTTCTTTTTTTTTTCCCACGATTTTTATGGGGCTTCACGCTCGGTTAGATATTTTACTCTTATGTAGGTTTTGGCTGAGTGGATTTACCTTGTCTGAGCTGTTGAAGTAGGAGTTCTCAACAACTTTTAAGTAAATGGGAAGGACTTCTTTGTTAGTGACCTGAAGGAAATCCAAAATAAAATAAAATAAAATAAAAGTTGAGCCACAAAGGCAAACTAATTGGGTTGAAGGCTAATTCATTAATACTCCAACAAAGTGTCAAGGACTAGAAAAGTAACCCATCACTTACTTTGTCGAATTTCTTCAAAATTTTCACAAAAGCAAGCATGTTCAAGTTCCTGAGGATCACAGTTGGCATAAACAAGAAGATCAGCTTTTCATCACCAATCATTCTCAAAAAATATGAGAATTTTTTTTTAAACAAAAAAAGGAGAAAAAGTTTCGAACGTGGTACCTGTAAGTTTTCAAGTAACCTAAGCCTTTATAGAGCTCAATGAAAGCCCCTCTAATCATCTTCTCGGCATGATGAAGCTTAGCCTTATTGATATGAAGCCTGCTTCCATCTGGGCCGGATTTCCTGGAGGACTGGTTCACCAAATCATCCCAGAGCAAGTAAGTGATTGCGGAGAATGTTCTAGTTGGGTTGGTTAGAGGAATGTTAATCCTCAAGTTCTTCCCATTGCAGGAGATGACACGGCCCGAGAGGCTCCTCATTTTCCTGTCGTCCCTTCTCATACTGGCCGAACTCTCCATCTCATCTGTATTTTCACTTTCAGTAAACTCCTCTTTTTCCTTCCCCTGTTCTTGCTCTGTTTTTTCCCTGGTGGACTCCTCATCTGCACCCACAAAATAATAAACACCCATAATTTTAAAAAATTAATTAGAAATCATTGATAAAATATTTTTCTGCATGTTGGTTCTACCACAAGAAATGGTGCCGGAAATGGAGTCATCTTCCTTGGAGGAGCCCTTCCCCTGCTTCTGCTTTATTGCAGTTTTAAGCTCGAGAAGGATCTCCATTTGCTTCTTAAGTGATTCCCCCCTCTCAAGAAACTCTTTCTCCTTTGTTCTGTAAAACTGGTTCACTTTGTTGAGTTGGAGGTCCAAGCATGCAAAAAACTCATGTGCTGCATCCGAATCATCAAATTTCTCCAGTAGTTCAGTCTCATACGAGTCCCCCAAGCTAGCCGAAGAATCCAGCTTGTTATGAACCTGCGCAAGCAAGCATTGGATTAGGCTAGACGTCATAAGAATGAGAGAGGCACAGAGAGAGAGAGAGAGAGAGAGAGAGAGAGAGAGAGAAAAGTACTTGAATGATGCCATGTTCTCTATGTGGTTGTTCAAAAGGAGAGAAGTTTCTGAGAGAGGAGATGAGGCGAGTGGGGAAGGATTTCTGTTTTTGGTTCGGGGGTGAGATGCTGTTGTGAAGGAGATGGATCTTCTTGAGGTCTTTCTTCAGCTGCCAATAATCAACAAAGCCTCCTTCCATTCAGGAACCAACTGACCCTCAAACTGCTTGGAGAACTTCATTTTTCCCCGTTTGTTTTTCTTATTTTTCTTTTTCCACAGGGAAAACTGGAGGGGAAAAAAGGGATTGAAGTTGGCAAGTGACTTGAGAGTGTCTAAAATGAGACCAGGGTTGTTCTATTTATGGGAGGAGATAGGAATAAAGAAATTCTTTTAGTACTCTCCTAAACGATTCTCGGAAAGGCACATTCTAAAATATCCTCTGCACAATAATGCTATCTTAAATCCTATATGCTCCTCCCACTTGGACGTTGTGGAGGTTAGGTTCCCCGGAAATGCCCCCCAATCCTCGCCGGATTCAATGATTTCCGGCAAGCATCCCTTCATGAAATGATCAGAAAAATGGAATACAAGGTGGGAGTTTGTGGGTCTAAGCCTAAAACCAATTACGTGAGACGATGGTCACTTGGGAGAGGGCAAATTAGACATGGACAAGCAACACTTTGTCGTTAAGCCAATTGCCACTCATTGTGACTGACGCTTATTGGCTAGCTTGTCCGAAACCACAAAGCTTGCCTTTAATTAGACCAGCCTAAATTTCCACTATACGGGAGGATTAGTGAAACTTCATAGTAATTTTTACTCCCCGCCTTTCACTACGAAAAAGATGATTGGTCATGTAATAAATTATACATTTATTCTTTTTTTTTGGGTCTAAGTTTTATATCAAAAGACATTAGATCACACAATAAAAGCTAATAATGTTTATTTTTACGATCATGACAAACACTGTCTGTATTACATTCTCTCAAACAAGTTCATGATATTTGGTCTACATAAAAAATGAGAGATGGGAAAATTTCCCTATCATACATCCATGATTTTTGTTTTAACTCCAAATCAATCCCCAGATTAAATTATACTTCATATTTTCACCAACAAATTTCTTCATTTTGATCATTATTAATCTCGTTTTTTGGGTCCTTCATGTGAATCCGAAAACTGTCAATTGTTTGAGTTTGATTAGAATATGCCGAGAATGATAATTAAAGATTAGGCATGTTGTTAGATAAGTTTTGCAAAAGGATTTGGCTTCCACTAGCACTATTAGCAGCTGTCACTGTAACAGAGAAGAAGATTCCAAGTTATTTGTAATATCTCAACCCAAACTCTCATCATAATACTCTATATTTTATTTTTGTATAAATATAATTAGTGAGGTAATTAGTGACTTAAATTTAATTTTAAAAACTCCTAAATCTTTGAGGATAAGAAAGATATTTTACATTACTTGAAAAAAAAAGAAAAGAAAAAATAAATAAATAAAATAACAATAAAATGATTTCACCCTTTAGTGCACTCCCTCGAGTGGCAGATGCCATTTAAAACTTTTCATTGGCCTACTTTTTGCTTAGGTCGACATGTTTGAAAACGAAAAAGAAAGGAGTTAGGAAGAAGAACAAGAGACGAAAATCAAACTTAGGTAAGTGATATTCAATTGAATTTTGGGTGAGTTTCTTTAAGAAAAATTTTTGTATTTTCAATCTAGTTGCATTTTAGGTTCCTTTAATTGATTAAATTTTTGTTTAAGTACTATTTTTATGATGAGAAATTAGGGAATAATTCATATCGATTTATATTACTTTTATTATTCGTATTAATTTTGTTAAGAAGGTGACTAAGTTAGTTTAGTAAAATAAGGTCAAACTGACACTAAAATTTGTTCAACACCAACCTAGAAGTTCGCCGACCCACTTACAGATTATTTTTATAAAAAAAATAACTATAACTCCTTTTGTGAACGTGAGATACTCCAGTACATCTAACTTGATGATGAGTATATATTAATATTTTAAAATTTCAGAATACGTGTATAGTAGATCTTTTGATACAAAGGTAAAAAGTCCAGAAAACGGCTTAACTATTAATACATCTCATATATATAATAGCATATTCATGTATTCATACACAGTTCTAACATGTTATTGATAACATATGTGGTTCCATTCTAGGAGAGACTTATTGGCCAGTCAGTGAGGCTGACATGACGAATTTGGGCACACACAATATCAGCAAAACCGAATAGTCTTTTTCCTAAATTCAGTATTTTTCAAAAATAATAAAACTGAAAATTTTCTTACAAATAAATATTTTATTTCAAAATCAAAAGTTATATTTGTCCAGAAATGCTTTTTAGTTTATATGTTATGATTATTTTAATGAATAAAATGGAAACAAGAATCTCATTTTTACGTTGTATGTTATATATATGAAAATTTGTAATTCACCTGAATAATTCACTGGGTAGTCACATTACTGTGGCAATACTACACGATTCATTTGCCCAGTGAGACCTGACGACACCAACAAGCAATGTGTGTTCATCCATGGGGGTGATATCCTATGGAACGAGTTTCATAACTAGTAATACTTATTAGATTCTTCTTATGTTATATTTATATCTACGTGTACGTCAGATCTCACGTTTATTTGTGGAGCCATTATATTTTTACTTATACTCTTGACTCTTTTACGATATTTTTTGCTATGATTGGATCTGTAAGCTCAACGGGTGAATTAGCGTTGGTTTAAATTATGATCAGTGAATTTTTATGTAACGATGTGTTAATTTACATCAGTTCTACTAACTTTACAAACTGTTTTTATTTATAGTATTATACAACATATTACTGTTTCACTGGTTTAGTTGAAAAATCATTCACTATGATACAAATCTCACAACTTATTTATTTTTTAAATTTCAACAATAGAGACATGTAGCTACATCACGTGTATTCGGCATAGCAGCATCTTAAGTTTAGAAAAATTGGACTCCACTCATGTCAATAGTGGTTAGTTTGGGGAGTGAGAGTTAGATAGTTGTTGTATGGAGATTTTGTTTAAAAAAGAGAAGTTACATAAGATAATTATATTTTTAATTATGAAAATGACTTAATTTCTCTTGTTATCTTATGTCAAATTATATTGTGTTATTCAATTTTTGGTTATGAATTATATAGTTGACTCAATAGTTATATAGTCCACTACTAGAACAAATTTGAGCCTCTCTCTCTCTCTCTCTCCCCGTCACTGCGTTTGGCTGTGTGAGTGTGTGGGTGGGTGTGGGTGTAGTTTATGTGGCAGAATTAATGGATAGCAACAGTAAGATTGTAATCATGAAAAATTGACGAAGTCCCAAATGTGCTTACTCAAAGATACGGTATTGTTTTTTATGTGTCATCTGTCCCTGTCATTCTGGCCTAGCTTGTATCAAAAATCAAAAACAGAAGTTATGAGACTTACTTACTGGGTCCAAGATTTATAACGAAGATTTGGATACAGTGTAATTATTCAGATGGATACAAGTAAGGTAATACCAAACCTACACATTAAGCATCCTTATATTCATATATTGTTTAGTTGGGGGATTACGGGTTGAGAATTGAATTATTTATTTATACGGTGAGTGATTGAACAAAAAGATTAAATAATTTCTCTTATAAGATATTAAATAAATAAATCTTTTCAATTAAGTTAATTGCATCATATCTAAAATCTTCTAAAATATACAGGTTATTACCTGTCCACCTTTTAACCATTCAAATATAAACAAAATAAATTTTATATAAATAATTTCACGTGTTTAATCTCTTTTTATCTTGTTTCATAAATTCCGCTATTTATCTTACAATTATAAATATTTACAGTACTGTTACTATTAATAATTTTAGTTTTTCGCAAATTATAGTAAAAAGTTTTAATAAGCCCACACATCCATGGACTTAAACTATGAGTCAAACATAAGATTATTACTCCCCGATCCTGTATTTGGCCACTTCTAACTTCAGACAGTTAGTCTTGGGGACTTCGCTGATCCAATCCCCATCCCTCTTCTTGACTGTGAAGCAGACATGACCAGTTGTAAGGAGAGAAGAGGGGGAAAAGATCAATGTACTTTTATTTGGGGTAATATTTCATCTTGCTCATTGGGTCATCTGTGATGCAACTGGGTTGGGGACAAAAATGTGAAACACTTCACTGAATAGACCACCCTATAAAGTTGTTTATTGAGACAACCAAGGGGACCATATGTGATAACTTGAAAAGTCCTTTTCAACTTTGAATTGATTTAGTAATTAGGGAATGCAGAGAAGCCCATGATAATATTGTTAATTGAAAAATAAATATGTATGGTTGAATCCCTCCTGCTTATAGGCCTCTTAAAGGCTGAAAAATCCCACCTTGTTTGGCCGGCCATTGGCCTAACAACAAATTACATGTTCAACAAAAATGCGTTTCTAAAAATTTTGTACTGTTAATCCACTTCCACAACCGCTCCTTTTCCGCCGAAGAAAAAAAAAATGAAAGGAGAGAGAAACAAAAGAAGCCTGAAAACAAAGACATTCAGAGAAAAAAGCTCATGCTCCACAGAGCTAACTTAATATTGTCGATTCCAATTTTCACATGGAACAATAATTTATGGGCTCTTTTTTTAAAAAAAAATTATACTATATTAAGATATTTTTACCCAGTTTTCATTTCTATTTTTATATCTATTTATAGTTTTTCATTTTAAAAAGAAAAGTGAAAATTGTGTCTATTAAAAAGTTGTGTGTTCTCCAAAGTTAAGAAATAGAATAAGTTCAATCTCTCTTTATACGGTAAATTACAAAAGTCAAAAAACTTGTTCACCCAACCCTTAAAACAAAAATGACATGGTTAACTGAAACGTATTTTTTTTATTGTAAAATGAAAAGAAATAAATTGACGAGTAGTTGATTTGAGTATTAAGTATTCCATTTCTCTTAAATAAAATTTCGGATTTGAATGTTATGCAGAAAAAAAACTCCTAGTATGAGAGTTTCTATCTCCTATCATGAAACTTTAATTACCTTGCCCCAAATCAGTTAAAATCTAGTAAATTTATAGGTATTGGTAGTTTCAACCAAAAAAATAAAAAGCAATAATTCCACTTTTGAACACATTTTTTTCTTCTGAAAATAGAAAAGCATTCAAGAACATGTTTTCCCACAACAAAAGGATGGAATTCCTTGATTTTTGTCATAAAATATGAAGATTATTTTTGCGTATGGACTTGAAGTTTGATC